CTCATTCTCTTTTTCCCGCGTTTTACTTTTTATTTTATTTTTTTCCCCTCCTTGTGGCTTGCGACGACGCTCGAGGTCCGGCGGCTGAGGCGGAGAGAGACAGAGAAAGAGAGTTCATCCGAACGGCGCGCGCCGCGCGCCATTCAAACGCACAATAACGCATTACAAAAAGTCTTGGCAACTCAATTTGCTCGCGGCGTCCTCTCGCGGTCCTCCCCGAGTCGCGGCGCGCGATGCGTCGGCTGCGCGCAGCGACCGGAAGCAACTTGGTGGCGCGCGTGCGACCGGAAACACGCTGTCCCGCCCATTCGAAACTTTTCATCTGCGAAAGTTGAGAGAGGAGAGCAGCTTGGCAAGCAATCAGTGATTCGATGGCGGCCGGAACTCGGCTCGTGAATTCGACAAAGAAAGGTGATGGTGCCACGTGCGCCTTGCTAAGAGAGAGAATAGGTTGTGGGTCCGCGGAGCATGGTGGACCGACTATTGCAACCCCGCTATAAAGTACTGAGTGAGTACTTGTGGTATTTAATGCTAGATTGAATCGTGTCTCATTTTCTCACACCACGCATGTCGAAAAGTTGTAAACATGTTTGTTATGGGGCGGGGGTGGCTGCTCTGAGCGCTGTACTGAAGTGGGTCACATGCGCAGCACAGAGTCGGTCAGGTGAGAGGTGCGGGTAGAAGAAGCCAGGGTCGGGTCTGGCCGGTCGGGTACGGAGCGGTGCAGTGTTGGGGACCCCTGCGACTCATTGATCATAGTTCCAGGAATACCCCGTGACAGTTGATAAGACCTCGAGGGGGGAGGGCGGGTGGGTCGAGGGCTTCGTCCCCACCCCCACACCTCGTACCGCCGCCAGTTTGGCTGCTTTTCATCCCAGTTTGTCCTCATTACGGCACGGACCGCGCGACGAGAACAAATTTGAAAAAAAATATGAAGGATGGGATGAATATTGGGGGACCCTCACACTGATATTCAAGGAATGTGATGTCATATTCGTTTTAATGTGAAACCTGTCACGTTCGTTGGAATTTTGTGTCACATTCGTTTGAACGTGACTCAGCGTGAATCGATGCTCAAAATATCGACAAGCTTGACCGTGTCACGTTTTAAACACATGTGGCACAACACCCAAACGAACGTGACACGGTTCACATCGAAACGAAATTCACATTCCTTGAATAACAGTGACTCACTGGAAAACAAAGGTAGGGCCGGGTAGGACCGAATGCCTTTCTTAGGGGGTGTTTAGTTTGCCTTTGCAAAGGCACGAAAGTGTTTAAAGGCATTAAATTTTAACCCCTTTGGGCAGTTTTAATGCCTTTGTAGAAGTGCTAATTTTTAATGCCTTTGTAAACGCATTGAAACCATCCTACATTTACTTTCCCGGTGCTGTCACATTCTTGCCTGCCTGCCCTGCCATTTTCAGTCAATGCAGGTCATAGCGCCTAGTAGGTAGGCAACATCTTGCCTGCAGTGCATGCGTGTCCTGCGGGTTGGCCTACCCTGGATCTCGCAGGCGCCTTGCTCCGTTAAGTAGCCGAATGAGTGCTTTCTGGAAGATCCCTAACGTTTAGCACTTACTCCTTCAAGTTAGATACAAGGGGGTACCTTATTTAATCTCTTCATTAGAGAATTATAGCAGGCGTGCTATACATTTCGTAGTTTATATTAAGGGTACTGCTAAAAATTTGGTCATGTGGAGCAGTGCTTATCACATTCAGCTACTAATGTTTAGCAGTGTCACAGTGCATATTTTTCTGTTTCTAAAACCTTCTCTTTACGTTGGATTGATGTTTTGTCTGTTTGCAGTGGCTTGCTCCACCGTGACTGTAACCAAGTGCCAGGCCGCTCTGCGTACCCTGCAGGCCTTCCCCTTCTTCAACCCCACCTGCCTGTGCCGGGAGCCTACCGTGGACCCCGAGTGCAACTCCTTCCGCGACTTCCTGTACGATCACCCCTGCATATACGTGCTCAAGAAAGGTGAGTGAGATAGATCATGACGCGTAGAGATACTGATCAAAACAGATATGCTCGTAGTACAAAGATAAGTTTTGTTACAGGCATGTGAATTGTTTGTAATACAGACAGATTTATTTGTATTGTTTACGTTCGTATAAAACCCTTCTTTGTTGCACGTAGGTTTGTAAGTGCATCATTCGTTAACACTTTTCGTGCGGGGCCCTTTTTAAGCGCATCTACCCACAGGCGGAGGGTTTTTTTTTTTCGAAAAAATATTTTTTGCTCTAAAACCTAATAAAATACTCGGTTAGGCCCTCGGCACTACAGAGAAAATTTGTGTCGGGTCCACCCGTGTGGACCCGTGGACCCGCCGCACGGAAGGGACTATTTTGCGGGTCCACGGGTGTGGACCCGTCGCACGGAAAGTGTTAAAGAGGCTTTTTCGTAACACTTTTACAATGTTTGTCCTTTAAAACACACTTGCCAGGGTCCAACACGGTGTTTAACTCATGCTAGTCTGGCCCGTTGAAAACTTCAGACGTTAGTGCACGCTCATATCGCCTTTCCCCCTGTTCCATGACTATTTTTCTCTCTGTGTCGGTATAATAACCCGCCTCTTTGGCATCATGACGTGGACCACAAAGCAAGCCCGCCACGCTACGCCACGCCACACCAGCCGCTTGTGGTTAAGTGCGGCGGCCGGTGCGCGGGCGGGGGTGGGGCGTATGACCCATCGTGTACACTCATTCATTTGACTCTCATTTGCATCGGGAGTATGAAAATATATGTATTCATCCCGTTATGGAAATCCCGCTGGTGGCAGCAGCAGCAGGGGCCGTTGTTGTGTGAAATTTTCTATGGCACAGGTGCCGTATGGAATATTGCCACTAGATTGTTTTTGTGTTGATGTATTATGTGAAGTTTTTTTTGCTGTGTTTATAGAAACTCTAAGATATACAGTGGAAATACTCATCATACCATATCATCGCAAAAGAAATGATAACGCTAGCATGCTTTTTAAGCACATTTCATGGATTAATTATATTTATTTTTTTTGTCGTGCAGGGCACAGGGATGGGTTTTTAGTGCGCTGCAGATTTATCGATGTCCCAATTAAGTGCCGGGCGTTGCATCCCTAGGTTGTCGGTCAACATCGTCAGGGGAATGTCGGCGAGAAGTGCCGAGTCAGGTGGGGGGGGGGGGCGGTTGGGCCGTCCTTTCGGAAGTGTGTGAGCAAGGCGAGAGGGAGGAGGGGGCGAGGTAAAGAGAAAGGTGGAGGGGCACTGAGGCATAAAGCTGCTGGAAACTTCTCCGGCGCTTCCAAGGTTTGCCAGGGGTCCGGCCGTGAAGTATCTCTGTCATAACGGAAGTGCACGCTGGAAGGAGAGGGTATCCGACGGGGAAAAGTAGAGAAATGTGAAAAAATATGAGCAGGTAGTACTCAAAGTAATGGGGCCTCGGGCCATTTATTGGATGCGCGATAGCGAAGCCCAGTTTTTCACTAGCTTAAATTTCATTTTAATGTTTTGTTTGTTTGCACGATAACTCACGGACGAATTGAGCTAGCGCTCTGAAAATTTTATGGTCATATGTTGTACAGTTCTACTATCAGATCAAGTCTAAAGACGAACACGGTAGTTGAAAAATTGCCTTTCAAAATGATCGGGACGCAGTAAGACACCAGAGTTTCTAGGGCACTGGTATTTAAATGTGCTACACCGCTTACAACCTGCAGAGCTCTTTCTGACTTACCGTGTGGAGGTGAGGTACGCTGAGTACCTCAAAGTCACCCTCGCAGAAGCCCTGATCTGGGAGGCAGCTCGAGCTAGGCACCCCGCTCGAAGAACCCGTTTGCTCAGGACGATTAGTTTGATTAGACTCGGCAGCTGGCTGCGAATATCGAAAGAAGAAAAAGAGCTTTTCATTTGCCTCTGTCAACTTGAGAGTCACGCCGCTGCTGCTCCTGTGCTTAATGTGATTCGCCTGGTGAAGGAGGGGGGGGGGGAGTAGAAAGTGGGAGAAGAGCGGAAAGGAGATTGCGGTACGGCTAAAGCATGCAGCTGAAGACGTTCCTCTCAGCCTAGAATATCTTAATTGCGCGAGTTCATTTCCTGATTGCGTCCCAGCCCCAAGCGGCCCGCGGCAAGGCGTGGCGGTGCGGGGGCGGCGGCGGCGGGGCGGAGCGGCGCGAGAGCTGCATGCAGGCTTTGACATCACCATCCGTTGGGGCGCTGCTCCTCACATTGATTGCAGCAGAGGCGAGTCTTGCGCGCGAGGGTATACTGCAACCCTCTCTCGGGCTCTGTGTCGTTTCGGAAATTGCTCTATCGTTGCTACGCTTCTTTTTCTTCCGTGTCTTTTTTCTGTAGCACGATTGCATGGAAATCGACACGACTGCTTTAAAACCGAGCAGAAAAAGTGCTTGGCTTTCAAGCAAAGGTTCTAAATTCCAAGCCGGTGTTTTCATTGCGATTTTTTAGCTGCCTCCCACGACTCGATGTCAGTACTGTTGCTATTATTCGCAGCCAGAATAAAAACAAAAACTGGGTTTGCCTTTTGACTGGTGTCCTGGTGGGCGGTGCTGTGCCCGACCCCCAGCCCCGCCAAGTTGTTGTGTTGTGTTCTTCGATGAGGCATTAATGAGGTAGGGTAGGGGCGCCTCTCTGCGAGCGACTGCAAACACACCAACACACCAACACACCAACACACCAACACACCAACACACCAACTCACCAACTCACCAACTCACCAACACACCAACACACCTCGCCCGTCGCGCCTGCTGCGGCCGTTGTCCCGGAACCGTCAAAAGCAAGCAAACACTGCTGTCTTAAAAACATCCTTACGAAATTTTGCTTAGTTGTACGAACGCCCTGTTTTATTAGACTAGGTCAGAATAAGTGTATCTTTAGCTTTTTTATTGAAGCAATTATTTTGGTGACTGTCGCTGCGAAGTATAGCCAATATATACTTGGCCTTTTTAGCTAACTTTCAGTCGTTTTCTGACCCATATTTTTACCGTGCGTAATTGATTATTTCAGACGGCCTATCAGTATCCGTACCTGCCTTTAAACAGTTCTGTCATCAGCTCTGTCTTATATCTGGCTAAACATTGAAAGGTCTGAATAAGGACTTGGAGGCTGGGTCGGGGCTGGTCCGTTCTTTTTGATTTACACGGAAACCCTCCGAACTGTCCACTTCTAGGAACATAAAATTATGCATTCCGCCTTGTGTGCGGTGTGGATGTGCACGACAACGTGCCCTTTTTTAGAACAAAACTTTCTCTTCCTCATGGGAAAACGTCGTGCGGACCGTCACGTCATGCTCATGCCACTCACACTGCACGAAATGTGCAGCGTTTATAATATGGAACTACAACGCTCTGCCTCTTGTACATTTTCCACATTATTTTTGTTCAATTCCGAAGGGGACAAAACGTTACTCTTTCATGTCACTTTGCTGATGAAACGCACCGCGGTGGCCGGTCGTTCTGCAAACGTGCGCGGCGCTTTCCTTATTGATGTATTGGCTGGTCGCGGGGCGTGGCAGGGCGTGGCGGGGCCGCACCTAACCTCTGCCGCCCTGCGCAGCGCCACCCCGCCCGCACCGCCACGCCACGCCGGTGCGGGACTCGGACGGTGAATTATTAAATCGGGCCAGTGACACTGCAGCGACCCCAGCCGGCCCCGCAGCGCCCAGCAGCGCCCCGCCGCCCTGCCCCGCTCGGGTCCCCTCTCACCTCAATGTGTTGTTCTCTCCTCCCCCTCTCATCTCTCTCACTGTATCACCCTCCGCCTCCCTCTCTCTCCCCCCCCCTCTCTCTCTCTCTATCTCGTACTAGCTCTTTCTGTTAATACTATCTTATTATCTCCCTCTGTACTTTTGCTTCAGCCTGCCTTCCGGCCTTCCGGTCCTCCCTTCAGGCAGCTGCCCTGTTTCTTCTCTCTCTCTCTCTCTCTCTCTCTCTCTTGTCTCAGCTGCCCGGTCATTAGCACTTGCCAGCCCCCCCCTAACCCCCTCACCACCACTCTGTACCGCTCCTCCTCCCTCAGTGTCAGCCGTCCATTTGCCATGATATACCGATGACAGCGCCTCGCTCCCAATGTGTCCCCAGGGGCGTGCGCCGAGACACCGCAGCGCTGCGGAGCGCCTCGGCCGTCTGGTCTGGAGGTGACCCGGTCCAATTCCGCTCAAATCCTCCAGCAGCGGGCGGTCGGGTCGGGCCAGGTCGGGCCAGGTCGGGCCAGAGGTGCACTCGGTGTCACGCTTGACCTCTGAGCACCCCAGTCCGCGTAAACTACTTTTAGAGATTCCCCACGACTGTCCCAACCAGAAGGAAACCCCCCGCCTCCTCTCCTCCCCTGTCGACCAGCCGGCGAAGGACTCTTCGGTTTGGTTGTGTGGCGTG